GGGGGGGGGGGGGGGGCCAGAGAGAGAGAGGGAGAGAGAGAGAGAGAGAGAGAGAGAGAGAGCGGCAGAGAGACAACGGTACGGATCGTCCCACGGAAATATTCCGGTTCACCGGAATGGATAGGTTGATGGAAGGAGTGTCTACCATTCCTGAGCAAAGAAGCATGGCCGCGGGGGAGGGGAGTGGTCGCGCTAGAAATGAAACGGGCGTGAGTCCATCCAGAAGAGAAAGAGCGCCTCCTGGGCATTATCTGCCTCCCCCGCCCCCCCCCCCAGCATCAAAACACGGCTCCCGAGCACATGGTGGTAAGACTATGTACCCAGATTTGAAAAACGTATTGTTGGTTCGGTGAGGTTCGCTGGGCTCTTCGAGTCAAAAACACGTCAGCTGTGAGCTGGGAAACATCACAACTGGCAGCTGGAGGCCAGCCAGTGCGTTGGTCGTGTACCCTGCTCAAATTTCCATCTTGTATCACCCCTTGATGGTATGGTGTCCTCTTATGAGCCCACCCCGGGGGGATCGCTTGGTACACATGCATGGTAGATTTACACCTCAAGGCGGACTCTATTGGGGGACGTATCTTGGCCCTGCTCAGCAGAACGGCACATCGCATGGGAAAACCCGTGATACAACCGAACCGGGACCCTCCCTCGGACCTACCTCCGCGAGAAATTAACTCTACGAGGAAACGGAACAGGGAGGGGATACGACGACCCTAACACCAACCCAAGTTTCCCGATTGCATGCTTTATCCAATATGTTTACTCAAAATATCCTGGGGAAGGTCGCGTACTGCCTCCCTCACTCACCTGGGCTGTCGCCCAGGGCCGCGTACTTGATGAACATGGCATTGATGGTCTTCATGTTGGGTCCCTTCGAGCTCTTGCGGCCAAACCTGCCAGGGAGGCGAGAGCAAGACGAGCACATGAGCCACCGATTGGCGATGGAATCACCCTGCAAGTGCTTGCTCTGCTGCCGCGAGGCATTCCCGGCAACAGCAGTAGCAAGAACAAATCTAACCTTTCGCACTCGTGGAGGGAGAAACGGGGAGCCCTATGACACAAGAGATGCCACGGTTCGTGATAAGGTCGTGCTGTGGCCTTGACCCCATTTTGGTCAGCTCGATAGGGGCGTTGCGGGTGTCTCGCGAAGCAACCCAAAGTGTGTCTCTCTGCCGAATAGCTGAAGCCGAAATCAAACCATTCCACGAGTCAGCGCTGACTAGCCCACTGGTTTGATTATCGGCTTCTATATATAGCCGGCAGTATTTCGACAACAGCTGGGCAAGACCGCTCCTTTCCGACCATGTGTTGTGTGTGTGTATTTTTTCGTCCTATCTATTATGGCGACAGTCCCCTCATTTTTCGTGGAGAGACGTGTACTACACTCTTCAGTGTATGTAGAGTACTGCATTTTTCAGTGAATGTTTTTCGTACGACTACTGCTGTATGCATACGTACAACCATCCAGGGTCACACAGCAGGGTGTTAAACATACACCGTAAAACGCAGGCTTCAAGGAGGGACGAAACATACCTCATCCGACGGCGGTAACGAAATAAGAAAATATATCGTAGCCTCGACCCCCAATTTGGCGTTTCTTATCTGAGCAGACACGTGCGGCCATCGACTCATACAACTAACCATGAGCTTAGCTATAACACGTTCAAATCGGGTGCTATTAAAAAAGGTGCGGACAAACTCCATTCCTGGTTGTATCGTTGTGTCCAATACACCATATATGCATATATGGGGGGGTGTTCATCACTAATTATTATTATTTTTCAGGTTTGGGGAGTGCATACTTGTATGGAAATCGTGAGCTACAGCAGTGTGTTCGACAGAGGAGGTGGTATCGCAAATTTGAATTTGAAATCGATTAGCACCGATCCGATCAAAACCATCTCCCTTATGGGTTAATCTGTCTGCATCAGTTGGACTAACACGGGCGTTGATCGAGGTTACTCGAGAAGGGATCGGAGAGTTAAATTATCTCCATGAAAAGACAACGGGGGCAGTAGCAACAACAACAAAGGGTCATCGCGTGCGCGCGGCACGTGTCGACAGGGCGGCATACACGACACGAAGTAGTTTGGCGGGCAGACGGGGAGAGAGAGCCCCATGACGACAGCACAGCGGCAAAACCTTTTCGTCTTTCCATCGCCAAAACTCAACCGTCCCCGTTCCCCTCTGCCGGTACACAGCGAGTTTGTACATACGCACGAGCACGACGGTGGTGTTCATTGTCGTATACGCATACACCCGCGCACACTGCTGTGATGTCCGCCGGCAGCTGCGAACAGCAGACTCGGCCAGCAGCCGCATATTAACAAGAGTAATCTTCCCGCTTTTCGCCGTGTGCAGCAGATAAAAGACGACGAGATGAGAACAACTTACGGTTATCTCCCTGCTTAGTTCGAGTGGACCCACCAACGCAACGCATGATCATCGGTACAAGATAGCTACCGTAAAATGTTGTTGTGTGTACATAGGCAGGCTGCTGCTGGCTCACCCTCCTTTGGCGGCTGGGGCCTTCGCGGCCGGAGATTTGGCGGACTTCGACGAGCGGCGCATTGCGGCAGCCCCCTTGGTCTTTGCCTTTGCCGTCGTTCTCAAGCAAAGGGTCAGCGGAGACTGACCCGACGTGCTCTTGACGCGTCCTGTACTTGAAAGCCTTGTTTTTGTCTCTCGGCAGGTCTCCGTGCGTTGGTTGTCCGAGCTGGTGCTGCTGTGCTTTCGTTCGTTGCCTCGCTACGTTGCCGTCGTGTCTCGCAACAATCCTCCCTCTCTCTTCTCCTGTATTCTCTCTCTATCTCTCTACACGCTCGTTTCCTTTTGCCCAACTGGCGTACTCCTAGGAAATTATTGGTGAGCACGCACTCCTGCGACGTTGCTCGTGTAGGACACAGCGAGCAGACCAGCCAGGGACAGAGCAACAATGGAGGCTGCACCCGCACGCACAATGGAAGGAGCCGTGAGGCGTAGGGCAGGCTTCAAATTCAAATTGCGGTGCCCCCTTCAAACTTAATACTTGCGGAGCTCCCCCTCCACCACTATACCTCCCACACTACACGATCCTCTGCCTGTGTGTGCTCAGTGCTGCTGCCTCTCCCTGCGCACCACAGCAGAGACCACTCACTACAGCCACGTACGATACGTAGGTTGTGAGTGACATCAACATTCTGACGAGCGGTTGAGGTGGAAACGGGAGGTGGTCCGAACAGGAGGTGCACGCGACCTTTCTCGAGATCGGAGCGACATTCAAACGAGCCGTCCGTGCGGCATACCACACACACAGAGAGAGAGAGCACTACAAGTATAAGTACACCCTGAGGAGGAGGCGAAGGTGAGACGGTGGGATCACTCACTACACACACACACACACACACACACACACACACACCTGCAGTCCAGAGGAACTCTCGTGATCTTTCAGCCATATCTGTGGCGGTTTGGGCCGGCAATGGTCAGGTTGCTATGGGTTCATGCAAAGGGCGTGAAGAATCGAACAAAATGTCGATCCTTGCTGGACGTATCCGAGACAGCAGCAGTGACAGATCGTGTGAGGTGTACTGACAGCTTCTTGCGTCACCTACCCTCTGCTCTATCTTGCCCGTCTTCGGCGTTGCTGCACCACTCAGGAAAAGTGAGGAGTGGTGCCGAATTCCCGTGAAAAGCGAGGGAAACACACAGCAGTAAGATGTTGCCTTCTGTACATGCAGTCTCTGTTTAGCGGGATGCCCTGAATAGCGGTCCCAAAATCTCATGGCAAGGCTGCACCTACGTAGTGCAACTACAACTATTAATACAATGTAACTGCCAGTCCGGTTTAGTCGCCTGTAACTGCCAATCCGGCATCGCCACTAAACCGGATTGGCAGTTACATTGTAGCGGTTATAAAGTTTAATTTTGTGACACTATACGGACCGCTAAACCGGGACCACGACTTTACAGTCATCGAGATGCACCCGCGTTCCACCGGATGTTCTTAGTTACCATAGCATCCACCGCGCCACAATAACCGAATGAAAAGACTGTCCAGCCCAGCCGGTTTCCCTCACGCACTGAAAAGACAAGACTCCAACACATCCCGTTCGACTGCTATGGTTATATCTCGAACGGGTAGTCTTTCTGTTTTGTATTTATTTTTCCTAGAAGACGTCGGTCTTCTGGTGGTCTTGTATTAGCCGGATCCACAACGCGAACGCTCGCTAATCAAAGGGTGAGCGTTCTACCGGCGACGTGTGTTACTCTTAGGGCAGATGCCCGTCGAAAGTCGAGGTGCGAAAGTGGTGTGCTGCTATCAGTTCCATTTTCTAGCTATCCAGTGGTTAAACCTCCAGGGGTTCAAGGGTAAAAGGTTGGCTGGGATTATTTGAGAACAAAAAGGCCGGGTGGAATAACGCAGAGAACTTTCGGCGAAGTATATTTATTTAGTCGGGTGCATGTACAAACGTAAAAACGGGTACACTACCATCTAACCACCATAGTTACGGCAGAACAGCCGAACTTTGGCGTGCTCGTTAGCTACTGTAAGACAAGCCCCAACCCCGCTCCACACTCCACACCAAAGCTTTCCGTTTGTTGTTGCTCCAATGTTGTCCAACGTACAATCCGGCGCACGCTTATCCACGTGTCGGCTTCAACAAGAGAGACAGTTTAACTTACCGCAATCGTTTTTTCCTTCATTGGAAGGACACGGGGAGAGGAAGGGGAAGAAAATAGCAGTTCTCTTGCCGCGCGGAGGACACCGCAAAAGGGTTCCGCGGTACGCTGTAAGGACCATAACGTACGGATGTGCCCCCCCCCGAAGACCCAGCAGCTTGGTGTCGCCCATGAAACCGTCAAATACGGGTGGATCCAGGCATGGATGCCTGCCTGCATGCCCTACGTGAACACCCTTCCCCCCACCCCTACCGCCGTTCCAGGCCTCGGCTCGAGCTGCACTATCGGTGCGTCTGTTTGGTGGGGGGAAGGAGGGTAAAACATCATGTCAAGGCGAGACGTCAGGGTTCTGTCGGCTGCCGCCGCCGAGCCGTACAAGGCCGTGGTGTTCGGCAGCACGGGGGCCGTCGGCAAGGAGGTCGTCCGAGCCCTCGCGGAGTCGGAGCAGTGCCAGTCGGTCGTTGCCGTCGTCAGGTAGGTGATTTTTTTCAAAGGCTCGTGCTGACTGCTGCTGACTGCTGCTGCTGCTGACTGCTGCCGGTGCTGCTGCTGCTACCGCTATTTAGTGCTGCTGACTGCTGCTGCTGCTGACTGTTGCTGCTGTTGACAACTGACTTCTGCTAGCTGCTTCTCGTGTTGTTTACGATGATGTTGGTAATGATGACGGAATTGGGACTGGTGGTCATGGTGTTGGCGGTATCGCTGCTGCGTCATTGGTTGTTGCTGCTGTTGCTGTTGCTGCTTCTAAATAGTGTCGATGTTGGTGACGATTGGTGGTTGTGATGATGATGTGGATGGTGTTGGCTGTAATTGCTGCTGCGCCATTGGTTTGTGACGGGTGCTGCTGATGCTGTTGTTGTTGATGATGGTGTCGGTAGTGGTGGTTGGTGGTCGTGATGGTGACGCTGTCAGTTTGTACTGCTGCGTCGCTGGAAAAGGTTTTGTTGATTGTTGGCAAATAGACACCGACTCCTTATTTCGCGGTGCTTGACGTGTTTAAACCGTCTTGCATCGCGGCGGGTTTATGGTTTGTGTGTCTCGGAATGTTTCTGTCCGGGGTGTCTGTGCATCTCGCAAGGGGGCGTTTGTAGCCACCGCACAGCTTGCACGTCTTTGCTGTTGCGTGTTGCATCGCGGCGCGTTTATCTTTTGCGTGTCTTTGATGCGTCGGTCTCCGCGGCGACGCCTCGGTCGAAAACCAGGAGGCTCACCCCGGTGTCCGAGTGGAGAGGGGATGCGGCCAAAAGCAAGACCAGCGGCAGCGACGCCAACTTCAACAAGGTCGAGGTGGGTGGAGCTTGGTGTCTCTTTGGGAGTGCGCTGTGGGGAGATATTATTGGCTCGACGTCGCGTGTGTGTATTGACCCAATGGTGCCGTCATCTTTGGATCAGATTCTAGGTGACGTGTTGTGTTGTTTTTTTTCGCCGTCCCCCCGTGTGTAGACTCGACGGTGACGTCATCTTTGGATTGGATTGGGTGAGGTGTTGTGGGTTTTGTTTTACCATCAATCATTGGTCGAAATATTGTTATGTGGGTTCGTCGGTGAACAATGTTGTTGTACAGTACGCTTAGAAGCGGATAGAGACTACTTGCTTGTTTTTTTCAAGCAAGTTCTTTTTCGAACAAGTTCGTCTCCATTCGCAGGTGTAAGCGTCCAGGATAAATTCGCCACGGAATTCATAGTTTTTTGTGGGCCTGTTGTTTATGGCCATCCCTCACGATGGCGTTGGGTTTGATTTGATAGGCGGTATCCGTCGTGAGGACGTTCTTCCTGAAAGGTGTCGAAGATGCCGACATTATTTTTATCCTGACGATTTGTCCTAAGTGCTTGTGTCTCCTTTTCGTCAAGGATGTTGTCCTCGATCCTCATGCCCCCCCCCCCCCCCCCCAAAAAAAAAAATTTGGAAGTTAAAACTAAAAAAACACACATAAAAATGGAGTTTTACCGCGTTTGTTGAAAATGGTGGCAAAAAAATTTTTTTTTTTGGAAAAAAAAAAAAATTAAAAAAAGGGAATTTTTGTTTAAATTCCAAGGACTCATTCGCCCCAGGGAAAAAGCATCAAATAAAAAACTTTCGAAAATTTTTTTCCGGAAAAAAAAAAGGGCGGGAAACAGGGAACAAGGGACAAAAAAAAAAACCCGCCGTTTCGCTTGTCGAACCACGGAAAAATCCTCTTGGCATTTTGGGCAACAACGCGGCTTAATTTTTCCCCACGCCTCCCTACCTGGGGCCAGCTTGGTTTGGGAAGTTTGGGGTTTGGAAAAAAACTTGGGAAATCTCCGTTT